GTCGACATCTTCGAGTGTATCAACCTCGTCGTCAGTGTCGACATCTTCGAGTGTTTCAACCTCGTCGTCAGTGTCAACGTCATCGAGTGTTTCAACATCTTCGTCAATATCAACGTCATCAAGTATCTCAACATCATCATCGGCGTCAACTTCATCCAGTGCTTCGACATCTTCATCAGCGTCAACGTCGTCGAGTGTGTCCACGCCAACCACAACAAGGTACGATCTGAATATATCAACTATTGTCTTCGACTTATGCTTTTCTTTACTTAAACGTTGACAATTCAGTATAGTCGTAAGAGATTACACTAAATTGGTCTGCATACGGGATTAAAAAAGCAGATTTCATGCCTCATTCGTTTCACAAGAGTTGCAAATACGGAGGTACATACAGCCAACTTGCTTCATGATAGAAATGGCTATCATCTACAACCTAGTAATAATTGAATATTACCCCTAAACATTTATAATGAATTTCCAATATCTTTGTATAATTATATTTGTAGTGAGACTTATACAACATCCTCGAGTGTGTCAACCTCCTCAAGGTAAGTAGTATGTTGTGAGTAAAATGTATTTTCAGTGTTTTGATCATAAAGTCGCTAGATAAACAATAGTCATACTTGAACAAAATAACCTGTTGATTGATGATTTACTGGTCATAGATCAAAGCCATACTTCATATGCCTTTAGCGCAGTCGAATCTTTTAATTTTCTTTAAGTGTGTCAACATCAAGTTCAGCATCGACATCATCAAGTGTGTCGACCTCGTCAAGGTAAGAAATGACGATTGTTTTCCATTTCTTTTTAATATATACATAGATTGGTTAGTGGCTTTATCTATGTTTCGTTAAGTACATCCCTTTGAACTCTTCCTATCGTTTTATGTTATGTTTATACACTGCTAAAATATAGTCATTTACACCATTGTTTTCAGCGTGTCAACGTCTAGTTCTTTGTCATCATCGGCGTCAACGTCCTCGAGTATTTCAACACCAACCACGACCAGGTATATATAAAATTTTTTAGACGGGGAGACTTTTTGTTTAAAAACCTCCAGAGATGTCAACATTTCTTTCACTGGAAAACATATCCTAACCAATGCATTTATCTCTCTGTTAATCAAGTTTCATTGTACGTTAGTATTTCTACATCAAATTCTTGGCCCAAATTGTTATCGATATCAAGTTGAAAACTAAAAATTCATTACAGTAGGTAAAAAAAAAATTTTTCAATAGAAACTATTGTCGAGTTGTTGATGTGATTATGTATCAGATGTCAGGAGAGATGCTGTTTTCTGTAACAGTAATTGATCTCTCCATAGTGTCTCTACATCAAGTTCTGTGTCGACGTCATCGAGCATTTCGACATCATCGTCTGTGTCAACATCATCAAGTGCTTCAACCTCGTCATCAGTGTCGACATCGTCAAGTGCTTCAACATCGTCGTCTGCATCAACATCATCAAGTGCTTCAACATCGTCGTCAGCATCAACATCATCAAGTGCTTCATCATCGTCGTCAGTGTCGACATCATCAAGCGCTTCAACTTCCTCTTCGGTATCGACATCATCTAGCGCTTCAACATCTTCATCAATTTCCACGTCATCAAGCGCTTCAACATCGTCATCAATTTCCACGTCATCGAGCATTTCGACATCATCATCGGCATCAACATCAAAATCTTCAAGTGCATCAACGTCTTCGTCAGTGTCCACATCATCTTCTGTTTCTACACCAACTACAACCAGGTATTTACTGAATAGTTCCATAATTTGAGACACTTCCCAACAGCTTTGACTGAAAAGTACATGGTCCATTATTACTGAGTTGATACCATATCAACTTCTAAACTATGGGACTTTGATAAGGTTTTAGTCGTGTTACTTAGATACAGGTTAATGTGAGTTATTTATCTCCTCTTTTCCTTTCAATGAAGTGTGTCTACTTCAAGTTCATCAAGTGTATCAACTTCCTCACGGTATTAAGAATTTGTGTACACGTGACTGTGCATCAGTCACAGCTTTAGATGGTCCTCTTTTCAACTACTAGTTCAGTTGTGTTCTCAGCTGCGAGGAGCTCTTTAATTTGATTCTTCACATTGCAAATATATGAATTTCATATATCTAAAATCATTATTCATCACTTGGATGGTTTATTTGGACCCAACATATTGATCAGCTCCCAGTTGGCTCGTTCGCTCAATTGATAGAGCGCTGCACCGGTATCGCAGAGGTCATGGGTTCAAATCCTGTACGGGCCTGAATTTTTTCCAGGTCCTATTTTCTACTACTAGTTCAGTAGTGTTCTTAGCTGTGAGGAGCTCTTAAAGTTGATATTTCAAGGGCATTATGAACACAATCCTTTGTTTGCCTTTCCGACGCTTAAAATCCTAATTTTTTTCAGTGTGTCAACATCAAGTTCTGCGTCATCTTCGTCAAGTGTGTCAACCTCATCAAGGTAACGAAGAACATTGTGGTTTTGTATTATTTAATTCAGTGCAAATTTAATCAGGGTCCATCGTTCTTATTATCAGTCGTTTCAACACCAACTTGATCATCCATTCATATTCATTGCAATGCTTATCATAATTAAATGGTGTGAATATCTTTTTTTTGCCGATGTCATCTAGTGTTTAAACACCATATACGACCAGGTACGAATGACATTTTATTTAGGGGTAATTTTTTTTCGGCCTTGACTTAGTCATTACGAAATCGATATATTGACTTTTGTCCTTAGTTTTCTCTGAAAGTTTTTTTTTCTCGGTTTTCAGTTTCTCTACAACAAGTTCCGTATCCACATCATCGTCAATTTCAACATCATCTAGTGCATCTACTTCTTCAAGGTTAGTTTTGGATTTTTTTATGTTATATCGCAGAAATGCATTTAATGCAACAAACAACCTTTTTAAATTTTCATTTTTTAAAGAATGCATATGGTTTATTTAAAACCGTTTTGATTTTCAACACAATGAACAAAGTAAATATTTGTTAATCTCTACTTGCGTTATCGTTGAGTTAGCTATTGGTTACAGTTATTTTTGCTGCTAATCAGTCACATTTTGGACTCTCAAACAAGAGTCTCAGTATATTTATTCTATGTTTTCTTATTCGTTAGATTTTAAATCAACTAATTATTATTTTCTGAAACATCGTAAAACATATTTCAGTGTCTCTACATCAAGTTCTGTGTCAACGTCATCAAGTGCCTCATCTTCGTCATCCATATCGACATCATCAAGTATTTCAACATCGTCGTCAATTTCTACATCATCAAGTATTTCAACGTCATCGTCCGCATCAACATCATCAAGCGCTTCAACATCATCGTCAGTGTCAACATCATCATCTGTTTCGACACCAACTACGACGAGGTACTGACTGAATTTATCTAGTTTGGATACAAAATGTAATAACACAGCGATCCACACGTTCAAGTAGTTACTGAACAGACATTTAATCTCTATCAAGTGCCTCAAAGGTACAAACGAAACTGAATATAAAATGAGTCTAGCAGCACGTGCAAATGAAATTCAACACTGGGCGTGAAAATTACAATATTATAACACAAAAGATGCGCCCATTTTGTCGGGGTTCAAGAGAGTTGAAAGAAATATTATTCCACCATTGTGCACAATGTTGGCTTTCGGACTACCTGGTTTTTTAGCACACACAATTTAAAATCAAAAAAATTTCCTTTTGCAACAGTGGTTAACAAAGTACTTAAAAATACCACTGCTCTTCATTCTTGCTTTCAATAAACCGGACTACCACCGAGAGGGCAACCTTCCCTCGTTTAGAACTTTTAAGCAAAACATAAATTGTGATTCATATATTTTCAATTTTCTATTTCCTAATTAGTGCGTCTACTTCAAGTTCTTCAAGCGTGTCAACTTCCTCAAGGTATAAAAAAAATTCTTCAATTCACAGATAAGGTTAATAAATTAGAATAAGCCAGATCATAACTGCAAAGGCAACAAATAGAAAATTTCGCTCCAGTTTTTAATTCTACTGAATCTTGCAACTTTCTCTTAGTGTGTCAACAACAAGTTCAGCATCAACATCGTCGAGTGTGTCAACCTCGTCAAGGTAAAGAGGAACCTAGCTTTAAATTTATTTTCAAACTTATCCAAAATGGCCACTTATTTTATCGAAAGCTGGTTAAGTACATTGTTTTGAAAAAAGAGTTTGTTTCTTATCTTTTAATTGTTTACACTGGTACCATAACATCGTAAGAGTGAACATTCTCTTTCATCAATTCTGTCATTTTTAGTGTGTCAACATCTAGTTCTGTTTCAACATCGTCCTCCGTGTCAACAAGCGCCTCAACATCATCATCAGTGTCGACATCATCAAGCGCCTCAACCTCATCATCAGCATCGACATCGTCAAGTGCCTCAACTTCGTCGTCAGTATCGACATCATCAAGTATTTCAACATCGTCGTCAATTTCGACGTCATCGAGCATTTCGACATCGTCATCGGCATCAACATCATCAAGCGCTTCGACATCATCGTCAGTGTCGACATCGTCATCTGTTTCCACGCCAACTACAACGAGGTATTTACCGCATAGATTCAGTTAAGACCTTTTTATTTGAATTTGAACCAAAATTCTCACAATTCGAAGTGAAAATCTTAATGCTTCATTATAATTAAGCTGATACCACACCCACTTTTAAACCAGGTTGTAAGCCTTACTAGTATTACATAGGAATGTATTCATATTTCAAATTTTATTTTAATCGACATATGTTAGGAGTATAGAATTATAGATTCCATTGTAAATCGATTTTAGCACTTGAAATAGAGATATACCATTCATTATTCATCACGGTTGCGAGCCCCTCTAGCCTATATTAAAATGCGTGCCTTATCATAATCGCTGGTAAAAACACCACGGTTCGTTAGGCAAAATTTATGAGACCTCTTTCATGTGACATTTTATAGCTTAGTGTAAGATGATGGCTGATTTTTTTGTTTTTTGTTTCAGTGTGTCTACTTCAAGTTCATCAAGTGTGTCCACCTCCTCAAGGTATGAAGAATTTTTATAAGAATTTTCTGCATCACACTCTTATCTAATTCTATTATCCTTCAAAGACTGAACTGAAAAACTCTTAACTCCCTTTCTGACGCTTGAAATCTTTTAATTCTCTGTTAGTGCGTCGACGTCAAGCTCTGCGTCAACTTCTTCAAGTGTGTCAACCTCATCAAGGTAACGAAAAGGATGTAATGTAGCTAAGACACTTGTTACATCTCTAGTGCACTCCTTTATTCACCTTGAAGATACAAGGAAAACTAAACGAAATGAATTAGAGCAAATTGAAGCGAAGTAAATCAAATTAAAGCAGTTGCTACAAACAGATCAATTAAAAGTTCTTTCGATTCAGAAATCAAGATTTATCAAAAGAGAAAATAAAGACAAAAGACAGCAAATAAGGTCACTTGTGGTGAGATCAGGAACAATGAAAACCATCAAAACAATCGAATGATTTGAAAGATTGATTTGAATGAATAAAATCAACAGTAGGGAATATCCACCAAACGTATGAACAAATTTATGCAGGAAGTAGTAAAATAATGTCGATGTCAATCATGCGTGCTAAACAAAAGGGCTAAAAGGAGATTTGACAAAGGGAAAAAAGGACGAATTTTTAATATGATGCGCTACACGAATTTTTTGCGGGAAGAACATCATTGTTTTGAATTAGATTTTTATGTAAACTGTAAATGATCGTTGTTTTAATAGTTTTTGAAGGGCTCCTTTGAGTATTGCCTCTTGTTTTCAATAGTTTGGTATTTTTTAGTAAATGTGCAAATTTGAGACATTGAATACCGTTCAGTGGCGTTTTAAGACGTAGAATTGATCTGTAAGCATTTTATTTTAATGTTGCACGTTTCATACTCTGCAATTTCACTTGAAGTTCGTCTTCAACCTGAGAACTCTCCTTTCAGCTTTGCCTTTCCTTCACCACCCACCCCTTTTTATCCCTTCCCATTTTCTCTCGTTCTTTTCTCTCGTTTAGTGGTTTTGGCAAGCCGCTGAGGGTGGGAACAGCCAAGGTTTTACCTTCCTAAGGCTTAAGGCAGCTCTGTCTGTTCGGGCAGATAACAGATATATGAATTATCATAAGTTAGACTTACTTTGCAAATTTTTATTGGTCAAGAGCATACAGTCAATATACAGTATCGTGTAAAGGTGACATGATAACCCAATATCTGTAGATATTCTGTCATCGTGTCGAGTTCAAAGTTTCCAAGTGCCTCTTCCATGTACTGCTCCTATACTTTCAAAACTCAGAAAGGTGTCTTTTCTGATATTCTTAAAAAATGCATTATCAAACAATTATCGAATCCGGTTTTTGTGTGATATCATGGATTATTAAACCTCTAGCATTTTTATCTGCTTCCGCGGCCTTCCGGCTTCGGCAGATAACGCAGGCTTCATGATTATTCATGATATCATACTCAACCTCATTCTATAATTGTCTTATTCCCCAGTGCTTGGATTATGTTGGTTCATATGTGAATACCACTTCATAGCAGTAAAATATGTTACATCCGTTAGTTATTGATTAACTCTACCCTAATAGTGTAGAGATGTGTACTTGTTTCGTATTCCACAATATCATTTATGGTTCGCCTCAACCTGAGAGCTCGCCTTTGTTTTTTAAACCCCCTTTGCCGCCCGTGGGCTGTATCAGGGAGACAGCCTCAGTCTTACCTTCCCCTTGCTGCAGCTTTTCTTCTTCTGGCATAAACTGATTCAGCTTTTGTTTTCTTAATACTTCTAACAACATCTCTTGTGTGATTTACATTTCAATCAGCGCTTCAACATCTAGTTCTGCGTCAACATCATCATCGTCGACGTCATCCAGTGTTTCAACACCAACTACAACGAGGTATGAAGGATACTTTTGACACAATGTTTTTGGATTTCTTAACGAGTCAATTTTTTTCACAGCATAACTTAACACTCGGACGTATTTATTTCATCAAGATGATCCTATCTAGTCTAGAGTTAATAGTTGAGAAACACATATATTGTAACTTTGTCTGTTGCTCTCGTTAAATATCGTTTTATTTCTGGTGTTCAGTGTCTCTACATCGACTTCTGCGTCTACGTCATCGTCAATTTCAACATCGTCTAGTGCATCCACTTCTTCAAGGTGTGTGTTGATTTTATTTCAATTTTACTTTAGAAAAATGAAGAATATTATACATATTACCTTTATTTTTTTAAGAGAGAAAATTTCTGCCATAAAGTATCGTGGCTTTCCTTTTGGTTAGTCTTTAGCTGATAAAAGGAAATTAATTTCCCTTTAATACCCAAAGGCTCCTGTAATCATGGTGACTTTTTCATTCAAAACATTCCTAAAAATTATGAAACATATTATAGTGTCTCGACGTCAAGTTCGGCGTCAACATCATCTAGTGCTTCGACATCGTCGTCAGTTTCAACATCGTCGAGCGCTTCAACATCGTCTTCGGCATCGACGTCGTCTAGTGCTTCAACATCGTCTTCGGCATCGACATCGTCGAGTGCTTCAACATCATCAAGTGCTTCAACATCGTCTTCGGCATCGACGTCGTCAAGTGCTTCAACATCGTCGTCAGCATCAACATCGTCGAGTGGTTCAACATCATCAAGTGCTTCAACATCGTCGTCAGTGTCAACATCATCAAGTGCTTCGACATCGTCTTCGGCATCGACGTCGTCGAGTGCTTCAACATCATCGTCGGCATCGACATCGTCAAGTGCTTCAACATCATCGAGTGCTTCAACATCGTCGTCAGTCTCGACATCATCAAGTGTCTCAACGTCCTCGTCAATTTCGACCTCATCAAGCATTTCGACATCATCTTCGGTATCAACTTCATCAAGAACTTCAACATCGTCATCAGTGTCGACCTCATCTTCTGTTTCGACACCAACTACAACAAGGTATTCAGTCTTGTTAAGATCATATATGAATCTCTCAGAAGGTGAAGATATATTATCGAAAGCAAAAGCAAACATTGACAGGGCTGTGCGTTTTAAGACATTTTTATTTCATTTTATCAAGAATCCGTTCGTGTTTGGAGTACTTTGAAGCAATTTTCTGTCATTTATGTTCGCATTAACGTTACCTTAATAATCGCACCAAATTTCTATTTAAATTTGGAACACCTCTATACTAGAATACTTTTTCATGGCTGTGAGAAAATGAATGTGTGTTGTGGAAGGAACATGTAAAGAAGTGGTGTCTTCCACGGGCTTGCGTTGAAAAATTCGACCTGGGGTTTGAGTTCCGTACTGAATAGGTAGATGTGCGCATCGTCATATGTGAATTGAAGACTGCCTCTTAAATACGTTTTTTGCCTTTTCTGTTTGTAAGTCATATGCTATACATTTTGATAACCTTGACCACTAGCTCATTACTGGAAAATCTCAAACCTCTGCCAAGCCGCGTTGACCGAGTGACAGCGAGGTCAATCTTGCAAAATTTCAAATTGAGATTTTCTTATAATGACCGGTCGAGGTTATTAAGTAGTTGATAATTAGTGGTTCCTACCAAGTTTTTAACTAGGTTGCAAGATATTTCCCTGCAACTAAAGCTACAGCATAATCGTCAGTTAGCCCGCAGAAAAATAGATCGTTCATAACTTTTGATAAAATCTAAGTTGTGCTTTGTATTTATAGTTTGAAGTGAGATCCTTATCGATATCTTTATTTCAGTGTGTCTACTTCAAGTTCATCCAGTGTGTCAACTTCTTCAAGGTACTGATTCGCATAATTTGGTTTAGTCAGAGTGCATCAAGCACGTGTGTATGGTTATAGCAACATGTTTTAAAAGCTAATTGATAAACTACATTAGTCTAGACTTGAAACTATGGATGGCATCGAAGGTGCGTTCTAATTGGTGACTCAAACTCTAAATATCCTTTGCCATTTACCTCTAAACACCAGAATTCGAACACATTATAATTGTAAAACTTTTTTTTTTTGCTACATTATCTTATTGCTCTAGTATATTTTAGAACAACTATTCAACGCAGTGTTGGTGGTTAGCGTTGGATTTTCACCACGAATTTTCGCCGCTCGGTAAATATAACCGCCTCCACTTCGGTGAAAAGTTGTTCAATATCTGCCTTTCCAACACTTGAAATTCTTTCATTTCTCTTCAAGCGTGTCGACCTCAAGTTCTGCGTCAACTTCGTCAAGTGTGTCAACATCGTCAAGGTAGCGAAGAATACGATTGTTTTGCTTCACATTTTTATGATAAATTCGCATGATCCATCTTTTATTTATTAATCGTAAGAATACCGTTTTGACCATCGGCTTTATTTCATTTTATTGTATTTATTGAACTAGGAGATTGTGTCAAGTTCATTTGTGTTTTTATTTTTATCAATCAGTGCGTCAACTTCAAGTTCTGTGTCCACGTCATCATCGGTATCGACATCATCAAGTGTTTCAACACCAACCACGACAAGGTAAAATGATATGTAAGAGACCTTCTGTCTAGACTTCAAAGCTGTCCAAAGAAAAAATTTCCACGGTTTATCTCTTTCGTTTGAACCACGCCTTAAAATTACTCATCGAGATGGAGGTGTTACCGAGAGCAACTCAAGCTTGATGAGTGCTCTCCAATCTTTTTGAGTGCTTCATATTTCGACGAATGTGCACCTTATCTGGGAAGCCATTGTTTCATAACATTTTCTACACAGTTGATAATGCATTCTTTTTTTATCGAATCAATGTCTTTAAGAAACAAATTAAAAGATGATTCTCCAAGGGCAAGTTCTGCTGAAACTAGGACAGTTAAATAATTACCATAAAAATGTTATGGTTTTAGTCAGATTGTCTTCAACAGAAATCAATATTCTTGGGTATTAGACCTCAAAGTCGATATGCAAATTTTTATTAATCAGCGCGTCAACTTCAAGTTCTGTGTCTACGTCATCATCAGCATCAACATCGTCAAGTGCCTCAACATCGTCGTCATTATCGACATCATCAAGTGCTTCAACGTCGTCGTCAGTATCAACATCATCAAGTGCTTCAACATCAACGTCAGTGTCAACTTCATCAAGTGTCTCTACGTCGTCGTCAATTTCGACATCATCAAGTATTTCGACATCGTCGTCTGCATCAACTTCATCGAGCGCTTCAACGTCATCATCAGTGTCGACATCATCTTCTGTTTCAACGCCAACTACGACAAGGTACACACTGCATAAATTTAGTTCATTCTTGTGTAACAGTATGGATTTCAAAATCTCATATCGTAGCATTTTGAGACAATAGCGATACAACTATAACTTTGACAGGTGTGTTTTTGTTTCTATAATATCTTCTTTCATATCAGACAAGTTCTAAGCTAGGTTGCTAGCCATTTCCCCGTAACCAAAAAATATTTAACGCTTCACCACAATTTCTGAGAAACCCGTTAGACACCCTTAAAATGGGTTTTTAAGCACTTACGTTTAAACTTTAATTGTTCTTGTTGTTATTTCAGTGTGTCTTCTTCAAGTTCATCAAGTGTGTCAACTTCTTCAAGGTATTTAGACTGCACGAGACACAATTAAATCAACATGTTGTGAAGACTTTATAGATAAAATACTTCAGTTGCTTTTACGACGCTTGAAATCTGGTAATTTTCTTGTAGTGTGTCGACATCAAGTTCTGCATCAACCTCATCTAGTGTGTCAACATCGTCGAGGTATTAAAGATCATGTTCTTATGTTGGATCTCCATGTTAACTGAAAATGGTTTATCGCGTCATTTATGAGTCGTAAGAAGACCAGTTGGATCATTGCCAATATTTCAAGTTCAATTTGTTCTGAAAATGATCCATACTTTCAATTACCTTTCGTAAGCGGATTTTTTAAATCTTCGCCTAAGTTTTGGTTGTTTTTGGCTTTTTATATGTAAACTATGACGATATTTTGGTATGTTTTATTATCCAATTAGTGCTTCAACTTCAAGCTCAGCATCCACATCATCATCGGTGTCGACCTCGTCTATTGTTTCAACTCCGACAACAACGAGGTATGAATATTATTTTAAAACCTTATTTCCGGACTGTTACATTAATCCATTTTTTTTCTCGACTTAGTTAGGACTAATAGTAATATAAGTACCCTTGACCTCAGCTCTCTGTAAAAGTTGCCTCGTTGGTTTTCAGTGTCTCTACTTAAAAAAATCATGTGTATTCCGATTAATCTATGCTGCCTTTTTCTCAGGGTATTCACCTCAAAGTCTGTCTCGACGTCATTTAAGCCTCAAACAGAAACAAAGGTATCAACGAGGTTTCCCTCATCGTACACTCTTTCGACAGCCTCCGAAACCGTTTTTTCATTGCATTCTAGGTGAGTTGACGACTTACTTCCATAGTTATACATAAATTTGATTACTTAGATTCCAAAAAGTTACCTCCTCAGGACTAAATAGGAATATAACATGTTGACAGGCCCAAAACTCACTAGAATCAATAAAAACGTCTTAGAGCAGCTTTAACTTTGGAATGATTTTATGGGTGAGCGATAATGTCAAATAGTTTTCTCTTTATTCCCATTTTGAACACATGTTTTCAAGGATTCCCCCCTCGAACATGCAGCTTTGTATCTCTGCTGTTCATTAGCATTGGTGAGTTTTGTTTCCGTCACTCCGGTGATATTGAAATTAAAGTCGTATTCATGCAAAAGGGAAGTCTTAAGACTTTCAAGGTTGTGGTTCAGACCAAGGACATTGTTGTGGAGAATTGATGGGACACATTCAGTTGTGCCCTTTAACAACTTGATTTTCATTTGCCTTAAACTAAGTGGTAAGAAATACCGACCGGGTATTCTTCCATTGACAGGATTATCATTAGAATTCAAACTATAATCTTAAGCTGTATTTAAAAGGAAACAGAAATAAGTCAAACAAACTACTAAGTATGTCTTGCTCACGTTTAGATTTCAGAAATATCGAGGAGGAATTATTAAATTGGCCATGCATTTTAGCTAAATCTCTTCCACAGCTAAAATATGTTAAGTGTTTGTTTAAATGGAATTTCTTTGGTTTTAGAACTACATTTCATTTAAATGCTACACGTAATGATATTAAGTTCTACTTACCCGCCAAGATACACTAAATCTGCTGGAGAGACAGAAAGTTTTCGCTCTCTCAGCTTGGATAGGTCTTTAAGTGATTAAGACTAATGGGCACCAATGAATTTCTCTCAAGGAGAAGGATTGCATCTCCTATCACTATTTGTAGTTATATGCACTGTGCACTGTTTTGCAGCCCAAAACAAATGTCGTAATTTGGGCGTCAGGTGACTATAAATCGTAAATTTGTTGGATCACAGGTGAAGAATGATGCCCCAAATCACAGTATTAAGTTGGCAAGCGTTACCTCTTAAAGTTTAAAACTCTCCGAGCCATCTTTTTTGAAAATTTGCAAATGATAAGGTGTAGTTGTCTTTGGCCGCCATTATCGATAGTGGCATTCCGAAATAGAATCCTGTGAGAAATGTCAATGTTTGTGGCCAAGACATCGACTCCAGGGCCAGAGAGCAACTTTCTTGAGCTGGTTTCTCTTCTTCAATCTGTGGTACGCCATCGATCCTGAGGTTGTATTGATAACTAGCAGTATTTTACCAACAGCTTTGCTTATCTTGTCTACATTTGATGTTAGCAAAATCTAACCTTTAAGCAACTGTTAAAAGACAAAATTGGCATCGAGCAAGAATTTTCATTATAGTTGATTTTTGACTTATTTGAACGTGAAAATAAATAGAAAAAATATATTAGCACATAAGCCACTTTGTAAAAAATTGTAATAAGCCAGTTGATCATTTCTTCTTCCTTTTGGCGGTCTCATCTTACAGGTGTAATTTAGCACGCTTGACACCTCTTATACTTAGAGGTGACTTTAGGTGTAAACATGTAGTACTTTTCATCTTCCGCAATGAAGTTGTGATTAGATAACTTATGGGGCTAGC